TCTCTCTCCCTAAGAATCTGAGGAACTTTAACAAACCTCTCTTTTCTAAAGGGTACACGTGCTTTTACCCAGCACAGTAATCCTCTTTGCCGTTCAAACCTTTTTAAGGGTGATTGTAAGTTGTGCCAAGAATAATTAGCTCGTGACCATGAAAGTAATGAAAAATGACTTATTTTCTGCAGTCTGATTTTCTATTTTTAATGTATTCCTCCCTGTTTCTTGTATTGTTCTTTTTAATTATAAGTTCCATTTTTATTATCTGTAGAGGAATCAACAAAGCACAGGTATATTTGTGTAGTAATAGTGTAATTTTATTATCCAATCCATAAAATGTAAATAGCTCGAGATATAAACTGATTGGAAAGTTTTCTGTCACATCCAGGCTGTAGTCCCACCTTGTTCCTGTCTGGGTTGCCAAGATGCTTACCAGAAACAAGAGGTTTTCTGTAAACATATGAAGATGAACGGATGAAGTTTTAGGACATTGTGCAGTGAATAAATAACTCATGCAATTGATTACATTCTACAAAAGGTGCAATCACTCACTTGAGCACAAATAGTACATCACCATGTAATTTACAAAAACAATGTGACGTGTTTGGAAATTCCAACAATTGGGTGAAACCATACAAGAGCAAAGCTATATGAGACACAACCACTGTTAATACGTCCCACTTCTGTATTAATGAAAGTTTTGTGTTTTTGTATGGCTGATGAGAAAATCGCCAGTGCACACAATTTTTGACGAAAATGTCTGATGTATGGATTTGAAGAACTGACTTTGAAAAACACTGTTGAAGTCAGGATCTTAAGGCTCTTGGAATAATTATGCTTCACCACAAGAGGTCAGCAAACAGTATAAGAACACATCTAAAACAGTCCTGAAAATTAAAAGAAAATGGGACACTTTCTTGTAATTTAGAAAAACTGCATACAGTATTTATGCACAGATTTGCAAATGCAAACAAAAAAGTCAGAGTGCCCTGTTAAAAAAAGCAGACGGGCACAGGCTGTCTCAGAACATTTGTCTTTGGAAAACCAAAATATCAACAAGCTAGGGAGAATTATCAAAGTTTCTTTGTACAACCTTAGCACAAGCCTCAGTACAAAAAACAATAACAGCTTCGTCAAACAGGCATTCATAATATACTAATTAGCAAAGAAAAGCAGTTAAAGAGTTACACACACTAATTTGCACATTACACCTCAATATTTTTCCCATTTTGCTTGCTACTTTTTCCTGGTGTTTGCTTCTACAGGTCACCCTGTCTTGTGGAAAATACAAATGCCCATAACTTAAGGTACACTTAGTGATGCATTTAACTTGTACAGCAATGCTACAATATAGCAGTAACACGCCTAAGGGGTTTATTTTCATCACTACTTTGGTTTGGCAAGGTGGCTGGTAATTCCACCCGTGGCCACAAGAGGGCGCCCATGGCCTCTCAAATCCAACCTTTAATCACAGTTTAACCAATTTCCACGTGGGTATTAGAGAATGATCATTATTATAATATATAATATTATATTATAATATATTATAGCATAATAATAAACAAAAGGGTTTGGTCTGTTAAGACCTCACAGCCTGTCATATGTGGCTTTTAAAAATCACTTTTATTTGACCAGTTTTTATCTGACCATCTTTCACCTGTTAATACAATGCCAAGCCATTTTGCTCTTTGAAAAACTAAAAATAGAAATGACTGTGAAATGACTGGGAATGCAGCAGCTACAAGGAGGTAGGTACTTTTGTCAGGAATGAGCTTATAGGGAAGGAAGTCTGACTCCCTGCTCCAGTAATAAATTCTCTTCAGGGTGAGCAGCTGGTCAGGTCATATAGTCAACCTTGTTGGTCTAAACCTGCTGTCTTAACAGGAAAACCTTTTGTAACTGAACCTTTTTCTTGTGGAAGAGAGGAAACAACTCTTGCGTATGAGGCAATTCCAAGACCTTGAGTTTTTTTTTGCTTCAGCGGTCAAAGGAAAAGATAGCAAAGTCGCAGTTGTGTCTGAGTCCGGAAGGGTCCGTTTGTAAAATCCGCAAAAAATGAACCTGAGGCGAGAGCCTGCTTTTGTGTATCATTCTGACATGTTGATCCTAACTGAAGTAGCAGTTGGGCTTGCTATCACCCAAATGTTCCATTTTATATCCCAAGCAACTTTAGTGTTATATAAGTACATTTAACAGTAGTTAAATGGGCATAGATGCAGTTTTTTTCAAATTGCTTACAGTGGTTCAAGATTTGTACAGTAGTGCCCTGCACAGCTGCAGCCAGTCTACTTAAGGCCAGAGTGTAGGTACATATTTGAAAAGGCAAATAATCAACTATACTGATACATAACCATTTTATACCATAAACAGGATCACTCCTCTTGGATGTTTAACAAAGCAAGATTACTATAAAAATGCTCTTTTTTTTCAAATATTATGTTTAACCTGATATCAACACCCTTCATTTCCTCTGCAGACAAAACATTGATTCACTATTTTTTGTACATCATGGATTGTACTCCTGCCCTCTCAGACTCCATTCAAGTAGAACATGCATCCTTCATGCTCTCTGTCACAAGAAAAATCGGGGGACAGCAATTATTTAGTTCAGTGCTGCCATCTTCTAAATGAGTTCAGTTGCCACATATTAACTGCCAAGTTACAGATATGAGAAATGTGATTATTACACTACTGTTATCCAGCCAGGTTAATATAAAGAACAGCAAAATACTCCTTTCAAAACAAAGCAATTCTAACTGTAACCCATATTAATATGGATGTTCATTCATTTGTTACATACGCTCTGTAAGCTTGTGTTGTTACTTTCCTGCACTACTGGGCAACTGTAACAAAACCAAACAGCTTTAATAAAACTAAATAAGGTGGGTGGATAAATGGACTTCGTTTTTGACCTTTGGGTTGTCTAATCATGCAATACAGTATGGTACTTTATAATATTCTGCAGCAGATACAGACCATCTGTGTCAAATGGTCTGTATTTTTCCAGACATCCCTACATTCTACAATAACGTGTGATCATTTTTTAATTAACGCAGATGATCAGTTAAACCAGATAGGTGGTGGACTGCTGTACTATGTTGTGAACAGTTCATTACAATACATGTATGGCAGCTGATGGCATTTGATTCATAAATTACTTCTACTTTACTTCATATTTTCTACAATTAGACTTTTTACTCTAAGGAATGACATTTTGTAAGAAAATAACTAATCCATATATTTTAATGATCACAATTAGAGCAAAACTAGAAATCAGCAAAAATGCCCTTTAGGTTATCCAAATACTTTGGATTTTTTATACAAAAAACTATTGCTCTGATTTAGACATCATGTTTAAACAAAAAGAAAGTTATATTCCACGATTACCTGACACTGCATTTCTGTACTAAGAGAGCTAAGAGACCTGAACTCAGATGCACAGTTCCTAAAAGACACTTAAGAAGCCTCCCCTAGATACGTCTTTTCAGACTGTGAACAGAAACACAGGAGCTTGAGAGCAGGTCAGAGTTAATGATCAGCACACACACTTCCTATTCAGGCCAGCAGCCATATCACCCTGCAACTCACAACTGGCAATCCACTGAAGCTCAGCAGTTGTGAGCCTGGTCAGTACCTGGATGGGAGACCTCCTGGGAAAAACCAAGGTTGCTACTAGAAGAGGTGTTAGTGAGGCCTGTAGGGAGCGCTCATCCTGTGGTCTGTGTGGGTCCTAATGCCCCGTCACTATACTGTTAAAAGGCGCTGTCCTTCGGATGAGACGTAAAACTGTGGTCCTGACATTCTGGGGTCATTAAAAATCCCAGGGCGTTTCTTGAAAAACACTGTTACCCCCACATCCTGGCCAAACTTCCCATTTCCCAATTGGACCTCATCAATCATAGCCTCCTAATAATCCCAACATGATTCTATTCTTCACCCCACTGATAGCTGATGTGTGGTGAGCGTTCTGGCGCACTATGGCTGCCATCGCATCATCCAGGTGGAGCTGCACATTGGTGGTGGAGGAGAGTTCCCATTACCTGTAATGCGCTTTGAGAGGAGTGTCCAGAAAAGCACTATATAAGTATAAGGAATTATAGCAGTGTTGAACCGTGGCTTAACGTTTTATAAAAAAATCACTGTCCACTTCTTTGTGAACATTGGTGTGCACAACAGCTGTGTCTGTTGACCAATATTAACATGCTGACAAATGCACAACAGGAAGCACAACAGTGTCAGAGTATCACTGATACTCCAGATGTCAGTTCCTGCCTCCTCGTTGCCTTTGTGTTGTGGCTAATCAGACATGTGACAAGAGAAAAAACACATGAGAAAAGCCAGTGTTGTGCACGCTAAAGAACCACAAACTACTTCAGTGTTTTTCATTTTGATGAATCACTAAAGCTATGTATTGCAACATTCAGTGAAAACTCGATTAATTTACTTTTCTTTTAGTATATTTTACTCATAATTTTAATTTAAACAATTTCAGTGCAGAGGGCTTCAGAACAGCTGCCGACTTGAATCCAGTTACACCAAGTCTCAATTAACCCCTACTCTAATATAATTATTCTTTAGGACAGTCTAAAGAGCTAACTGTAATAGAAATAACACTGCAGGCATCCCTACATCATGATTAAACTTAGGTAGCATAACACACTTTTTCTCAACTGGAGATCACATCTACCAGCAGGAACCATGCACAGAAATTTGGCTAGCAGTGTAATATTCCATGTTTGGATTGCCCAGCAGCACTGAGCCCACATGCAACACAAGAAGCAACCACCTTCAAGGACCACGAACATCACTGCAGTATTGAAATCATCTGTCTCTTAAGATGTTAGCTAGAAAACGGACTCGAAAAGGGACCCATTTCCAAATACAAATACAAACAAGCAAATGTCAGGAAATCGACAGGAGAAAGCATATAAGCTGTCCCCAAGCAAGAGAAAAGTGACAGGTCAGAGGAGGTGAATGAGCTCCACACCTGAGAAAGCTGGTCTCACCTGCTTCTTTGCAGACAGCTGCCAGGTCTGCCCCCACATACCCATGAGCACTGTCGGCAAGCATTACAATCTCCTCCTCGGACAGCAGGGATGACGTGGTGCTCAGCTGCTTCTTCAGGATGTCCGCTCTCTCTACTGCATTGGGAATGCCGATCTCGATCTCTTTATCAAAGCGGCCAGGCCTGCGTAGAGCAGGGTCCAGTGCGTGTGGCCTGTTAGTGGCGCCCAGTACCAGAAGCTGGCCACTGTGCTCCTCCTGAAAGACAGACGCACCGGGATCAATTGACCCTTGTGAAAGGGCAGCACATCCAGACAAGACCCCGATCTTATCTGAAGCTGTTGCCCCCTCACACCCTGCTACCTCCCGAACACCCACAGGTATAGGACAAAGAAAAATGTGACTTCAAAGAGTTTTCAGTGGGTTCAGTGGCACTAATTCTCTCTTTCTTAAAGTGACTGAGTATTGTTTTAATATCTGTATTATTTAGATCACTTTCATATCAAATTATATACTTTACATATATACACATTATATGAATATAACTAAAAAAATAACTTTCTCAGGAATAAAACATTCACCTTTCCTTGATACTATACAAAATTGCTTAATGCAAATCAAACACATATTTTAAGATTTCTTGAGTACTTCGTATTGTGGTGTATATTATTTTATAATTCGAATAAAAAATGTTATTTTAATCTTTTTAACACTCTGCATTCTGTATTTTTGTCATAATTGCCATTTTGCCTTTGTCATAATTTTGTATTTAAATGTATATAGGTTTATTTTTCTTTTAACAGAAATTTTGCCATTCTCTTTCTGCATCACCGTTTGAGATATGTCTGCATTAAAGTGTTAGAAACTGCAAAATAGTTTTTAACCAACACCTATTTAAATCCACAACCTATCTATAAGAAACAAAACAGAATTCTTAATCCAAGAAATTCAATGCTAAACCAGACTTGTTAAAGTAAAACATTCTAGCAAGAAAACAAAACAATTCAAAAGTTTTTATTATCCATCCATATTTTCTGTAATTTCCATATACCAGTACATGTATAGTAAATGTACTTAAAGCATATTTTGTAACTTATCTAAAACTAACGAATCCCAATGAAAACCAGAAGAATGTTTTTAAAGAGACTGCATGTTATACTTTTGGTTTATTTATTTTCATTGTTCATTGTTCTAATAACAGTACAAAATGTATCACTGTGTGCGAGTATTTGATAGTCCATATTTGTTTCATATGTTTCATACCTAATAACACTACTGTATATTGCACAAAACTAAATAGAATATATTGCAATAAATAAATAAATTTTGCACAAAAATGAAAATATTTGTAACCTTTTTAAGAACTATGTACAAATATAGAGCTCAGGCACAAACTGAAATGGAATAACTTCATTTCCATTTCTGAGGGTGGTCTAGCTGACAGATTATAAATAATTACCTCCCCCAAACTGGGTTCACAGAGCCAGCCGATCACGAAAACACAAATAAATTACAGAACAAGCTGGAATTCGAACTTAGTACGGCATTCATCAATTCAAGGATCAAACACAACAGGCCTGTCCATGTGGTTTTCCTATCAAGTGACCTTGGTTTCCAAACTGAGGATGCTATTCTGGAAAAAAGATAAGACAGCTGTTTCTCTTTTAAAAAAATATTTACACAATATTCCCTCTACTGAGATCCAAATGCACTTCTTTGCATTTAGGAAAAAATAATCAGTATATTCAACACTGAAGAGTTTCACAGAGCACTGCTATCCTTTCGTACAACTTCTGTTTGGTTCCCTTCATTTTTTGTCTCCTTTTCCATACATTCTGTCCCTGACCCAGAACAGGTGAAGTTCAACTCCATGATGAGAGCCTAAAAAAAGTTCTAAAGATCCAAAAGAAATGTTCTGAAAAAGTCGATCAAACAGGTTCAACCATTATTACGACATTGAAATATAATTTCAAATCTGAATGCAGAGTTGGTATTTCACTCATGTTGCCCCAAAACAAAACAAAAAATAGAATGGTATTGCCATCAGGAATGAATGAAGAAATATAATTAGGCTGAATTGAGTACATTTAAAATTATTACAAAGGCAGTATATAAACTTTATTATAGTTGCTCATTGTTATTTATTATACACTGCAGTTTGGTATAAAGCTTATACCAAGGCAACAAACTGTATTGTAGAAATGTCAGATAATACAGAGACTATAGAGAAAAACACTAGACTAAAAAGTATAGTAATTTATTTTTGAAAGAGACATTAAGCAGGTCCTGCTATGCTTCAGTAAATATAGGAATACAATTAATTAGTTGCCTGTACAGTCCTTTTTGCTTTTACTTATACTAGTACTTAATCTTGTACTTTACATACTGTTGATCATAACGATAAAACCACAGCAGTGATGTGAGAATTTCTGCTTGATGCCTTACCTTGTGGAGTTTTGTCTGTGTTCAGACAGGAATTTGATTACTGTAATTACACTATGATCTGAAGTGGCTGCAGAAGAAACTTTACTCCATCACTGCTCACCACATTAGAGATCACTCCTTCTCTGAAATTGCATTAAAGCACAATACTCCGAGGATATGAAATGGGCACATGCAAAATCACAGGGTTGGCAATTCTGTGTGACATTTAGCTCATAGAGCATCGACAGCATAGGCTTTCCTTATATAGATCACTTTCAGAATCAAGCGTTTGGTCTTTAAATGCCAACATATCAAAATGAACATGTTGGTGATCTCGAGCAACATCAGTCACACCTAATGATAGAAATGTGTTTGGAAGGGACTTCCAACCTACAGGACTCAGATTAGAATCAGAGGCGCTATGTGGATCTATAAAAAATGTCAGAGAATGATCCCCATAAAGAACTCAAGTTACATTAAGGGACTGAGGGTTTAGCTGAAACGAAAACCAGTACATATGGAGATCCCAAGGACTGTAAAGGGAAAGGGACTGTAAAGTGGCTCTGTGGTTAAGGATCTGCGCCTGTGGCTGGAATGTTGCCGGTTCATATCCCACGGCTGGCAGAGGAATCCTACTGTGTTGGGCCCCTAAGCAAGGCCCTTAACCCAAACTGCTCCAGGGGTGACGTACAAATTGCTGATCCTGCGATCTGACCCCGAGCTTCTCTCCTTGTTTGGATGTCTCATGGAGAGCAAGTTGGGGTATGCGAAAAGACAAATTTCTAAAACAAGAAATTGTATATGGCTAATAAAGTGATCTTATCTTATCTTACTAAACAGCTGAGCACCTTGAGGAAATCTGACATGAACCACTTCACGATGTTACAGGGAGGATACCCTCTACAGTAACCCCATACTTACAGAGCCAATGCCATCCATCAGCGTTAGCAGTGATGCCACCACTCGTTTCTCTACTTCGTTCTGAGCTCCCTCCCTCTTTGGACACAAAGCGTCCAGTTCGTCTATAAAAATGATCGCTGGCTGCCTGAAAATGATAAGCAATTACAGCTTTCCAACCTTGCAAATGAACGCAAAATTTCTCATCTCCGCACACCCAGCATAGAAAACATAATTTTGTATTATAGCTTAATTACATCTATCTGATAAAGTGCCGAGTTTATGTTTTGCTGGAAAGTTTCGATTTACAAAGTTTCGATATGATTGATGTTAAAAAAAAATCAGGGCATTGACAGGAGATGAGCAGAGAAAGGACCTTACGAAAACTAATTTTAAGGTGTACAGAAAATATTTTTTTCTCTTCTAAAAACATGTGCATAGACTTAAACTAGAGCTGGCATCTGCCCTATAATTCAGATTTTCAAATGTGCACTAACCATGAACATAATGACTATAAAAAAGACTAAAATAATTTGTGAAACCTAAATGTATTTAATTATTTAACTCCCAGCCTAGGAAATTTTATATGAAAAGATTTCTATGCACTTATGTTGGAAAGAAAATCTGATTTTATAATAGAAAAATATTTAACATTTTAATACCGTTTACTTTCAAACAATACATTTTTAGTTTTTTGTCAAATACAGTGTGCTGGTAAACTATGTACAGACTTGCTTCAGCTAAACGAGAGTTGCTAATCAGCTGTAACCTTGGTCTAATCACCGGAAAGAATCTAAGTAATTCATTTCCACAGAGAAAAGCGGATGGTTTAATCAGGGTGACTAACAAAATTAACACATTTAATAATGTTAAAAGTTTCCAAGTGATTATCAAGCTGAAAAACTCTAAACTCTAAACAGGTGATCCTGTTTCAAACAAACTGGCAGCAGAAAAAGACTTAAAGCTGGGATTGTTCCAGCCAGGATTACCGTTGAGAAGCGTCAGAGAATATCTGCCTTAGCCGCGCTTCCGTTTCTCCATAAAATCTGTAAATCGCAAACGATAAGAATCAGAATGAAAATGCCTCATTTCCTTTTTCTAGAAGATAAAAACTGCACCACTGTTTCCAAAACTTGATAACTTGCCATTCTGACATCAGCCTGCTACAGACATAAGCGCAAGCTTAATGCCAACTTTCACATCTAAAAGAAGGCAATAAAGTCTTGAGCTTGCACATAAAAGTTTGTAAACATTCATTTATTTAAAAAAAATAATACCATGTTTTGCCCCCAAGTGACTGAGCACATGTGACAGAGCACCACTATAGAATGGTCATGAATCGGTTTTCTGTCAGCCAGTAACTCAGTGTAGACTTGCAGTGATATCAGAGAAAGTCATACTACTCTTGCAATTGGCACAACCTCACCTGTGGTGTATGCACATGTCAAAATAGGAACTGTTCTGTAGAGGTATATGCTGGAAGAGCAAATCTACAAATCACGTCCACTTGACCAGGTACAAGAGTCACTGCCAGAGAGCCAAGCCTTAAAACAAATTCCAAATTTGTATGGGTAGGTAACCTCCAAATGTATTAGGATAACAAAGCCAGAACTGTTACTTTTAGCTTAAAAAGCCAAGCAATTTGCGTTTGTGGTCATGACGTCTATATGAATGACAGAAAGTCCAAGATAATATCCTTTTTTTTAATTTTAGGATACTTCCACGATCATATTAGGACTAAAAAACAGTAAAGCCATGTTTTTAAGTACCGTCATTAAAAAAGTACTTCTATTAACTTTGTCAATTAAAAAACAGGCCAAGCTGGTCCACTCGCTGGAGGCCATGTGAAGTTTGATAGAATCTCGTGATTGATCAATTCGGTAAGCACACATCACAGACAGGGCAGAAGCGCCTTCAGCTCCATAAACACAGCTCAGAGGAGCTTCAGACTGAAAGATGGGGATAGAATGGACACTGTAAAACAGCACTACAACACCTTTGGAAAAACAGTTTTATAAACAGCCTTACTTGCTCATAATTTCAGGCCCGTTGATGACAGTGATATGAACACCCACTTCATTCGCTATTGCTCGCCCAATCATTGTCTTCCCAGTTCCTGGTGGCCCATAAAGCAGCACTCCTCTGGGAGCCGGGATGCCTGCAGAAAAACCAGGGCCCAAACATCAAACATCCTGAGCACAAAGCTAGCAAGAAAAACAACTTGCCAACTGCGTTCCACAAAGAGAATGTGGCGACAACAATGAAAAGAAAAACATTTCATTAAAGATACGTCAAGCTGGTGACCTACCATAGCGCTTGAAAAGATCTGGATGTTTCAAAGGCAGCTCAATCGTTTCCCGTATTGTGCTCAATTGGCTACTCAGCCCCCCAATCATGCTATAAGTGACCTTAGCTGTGCTCTCCAGCTCAGATTTGCTGTGTGCTTTCTGTTCAAGAAGCTTTATCTTTGTCAGCAACGAAAGGTGATAAAATGTGTCACTGTTGCATTTAACTCCGCAGTCACTGAGGGGTGAACTGGAACCGGGGTGAACTGGATTGCTAGTGGAGTGACTGAAACTTGGGTCTTCTGAGCCACAAGGCTCCCCTGATTCTCTGACCGGGGAGGGGCAAGGCTCTAGGTCAGAGGTCACCGATACACACAAATGGGGCTTGCAGGGGGTGCTGGCTGGAGGTCGCGCCTCATTCTCCTCAAGGTTCAAGTGACTGAGCTGCAGAGACAAGTCGACAGATGTGGTCTCCAGAGTGGAATCGCCAGACGCCTCTTTTTCCGTTTCAGTCACCGGAAATCCGCTCGTTTCCATCCTGATGCCATCCACTCCTTTCACCTTCTCCACTCTCAGGCTGCATGGGCGGCCGTAAAAGGTCAGGCCAAGAAAGTTTCCTGGAAGTAGAACTTTTCCATCTGAAAGAAAAGAAGATGAAAGGCTGAGCGATGATTAGATTTATGGGCTGAATGATTTTATTTCCACAGAAGTGTGTGGGAATATGTAAATAGTTTTCAGAAATGAGAGGTTACAAGCGACCCACCACACTTTTGTTAAGAAAAACATCCGCTTTACACAACCGGGACTTGTAACAAAATTCTAAAAGTGCTTTGCCACTGTAACCACAACCACCATGAAATAGTTAAACGATAGGCATTGCTTTAGAACTAAGCAATAAAAAAGCACCTTTTCAAAGCCCAGCAGCATAGAAGGATGGTGTACTGTAGTATAGTAATATCATGCTTTGTGAATAAATATTTCACCCCCCCTTAAATCTGTTACAGTTTCAGTTTTCAAATGATACTGCATGATGATGAAGCAAATTCAAGAAATTTAAGATTCTTTAACGTGAATAAAACACCAGCTTATCTTAGTGGAAATAAATCATAGCATTCCCTCTCCCTCAAAGCATTGTCTTCATTCACACATTCAGGTTTTTAATTTGATGTCAGTTGTAAATACACTGCAGAGCTACAACAAGCTCAGCGCTACAGACATACCCCATATCAATGCTTTGTTTTGTGGCTATAGCTTTTAACTATTTTGAAAAACAAATGCCTATAAAAAATAAACTATATACACAATTGGCGGCACCGTGGCGCAGCAGAGGACTGAATTGCTGCCTCGCAGCGCTGGGGCCCTACAGTAGTTTCAATTCCTAGGGAGGTATCTGCGTGGAGTTTGTATGTTCATGCAGATTTCCTCTGGGTGCTCTGGTTTCCTCCCAAAGATACAAAGGTAGGTTTAACTGGCTTCTGAGAAAACTGGTTCTGGCGTATGTGTGTCTGTGGGTCATTTGTGATGGACTGGAGTCCTGTCCAGGGTGTACCCTGCATTCCGCCTGTTGCTTGCTGGGATTGAATCTGGCTACCCGCAACCTTGTATTGGATAAAGCAATTCGAAAACAGGTGAACGGATAGATGATATTAACATTGAGGAGACAGAAGCCATTGATGTAATGAGAGAGTATCGATGCAAAGAGACTAAAGAATTGCTCATGTAGTGATTAGCGATTAAAAAAGGGTTATAAAAGTGAACCAAGTAAATGGCAATGAATAAATCCAGATTTAATGTATACTGTATGGATTCTAGCACAAGTAAGGTTCTGTGAATAATTATCACAACTAGAGCATCACCCGTTTAGAAATAGGATGCAAGGACATACTGTACTAAACAGGGATATAGATAAGTTACATCTTGTTTAACTAATTTGTTCTTAGTGAATTATTTGAACAAGCAACATTAGTAATGGAAACATATCATACAGAGCATATATTTTTTTCTTATATGTTGTTGTATTTGTATTTTCAGAAGTCTTTTGATAACATTCCTCACAAAACATTAGTTCTCAAATCACAGACAGTAAATGGTGTTTGAATTGAGAATTTCTTAATAGAAAACACAGAACACACATAAAGGAAGAACGTTCAAAATGGAAGTACCAGAAGTATCTGTACTAAGAACAGTGCTCTGGTCCTATACTGCTACAAGTTTGAATAAAATTCAAAAACAGGCTAGGCAGATGAAATTTAATGTAGACATTGCATAGAGATTGCACTCTACATGCAGGAAGAAACAATTTAAGCACAAAATGGGAAACTATAAGCTTGATGACAAACACATAGGCATTTATGTTGACATCACTGCCATCTTCTTCTGGGATACAAAACAAGACAATACAGTCAAAAGCATAGAATTCAAGTAAAATGATGTTATAGTAAAATTGACTAAATTTAAAATACTGTGTATAATTTTGGACATTACAGTTACTGCCAGATATATTCCAGGGATTAAGGTAATGTCCTATACTTACATGCTGAGGGAACCAAACCTTTTTAGTCTTGAACACAGAAGATTATGAGGGCCCCTGATACAAGTTATCAAAATCCTAAGAAACATTGACAAAGTCAACCCAGTAGACTTTTCAGAATAAACAGTGAAACAGGAAACAGGAAACAAGTGGAAACAGAGGGCACTTTAATACGCAAAACGTTGTGGGAGTAATGAACAAGCCACCTCGTCACGTTGATGAAGATGATACCCTTGCTTCTTTCAAGACAAAACTGGATGACATCCCTGGCCAATTAGCTATTAACTACCAAAAGGGCCAAAAAGTTCCTATGTTCGTATAATGCACCTCCAATGAATGACAATACGGAAAAAGGTGTGTAGCATTTAAAAGCTAACACCTCCCAAGAAAAAAGTTATATTTTAAATCCAAAAAGTAAAGAGCAAATTACTTTACCCATAGATCTAAGAAGGAAGTTGGTAAATTCCTCCATGTTAAAAGCATCATCCCTCTGTCTGCAAACAACAAACAGCAAGACACTTGATTAAATAAGATTATTAATGAACATGCACTTGCCACAATAACAGTTATAAAATACATGACCAGGAGATGGCAGTACTTACCTCTTTATCCAGCACTTGCAACACCAGTTGCTACATCGAACAAAACTTCAGTTTTGTTTACATGCACAACTACAATATGTGCAAAACACCAAATCATCTTCAGCTTTTACTTTTTAATGCTGGATAATAGCTCTATTTTATCATGGCTATATATAAGAAAATAAATTATCACTCTATTTAGAAATAAGCTTTTAAAAAAATAAAATATGCAGAGCTTGGATGTTGATCAAATGTTTCTAACACAATTTTGATTTACTGACCATTTGTGACTGACTGAGATCTACATTCCTTGAGGAACTCTGACTAGTGCATAAGCGTCAAATCACCTAACTAGCCAGAGAATTGATTTGGCAGTTAGATAAATTGACTATTTGACTTATGGTTAAGTGTACTTTTTTTTAATAAACTGTGCAAATAATCAAAGATCACACTCTCCCCTCACGTTCATAACATTCCAGCAGTGGTGTCAAATTCCTGAAATTTTGTTAAGAGAAATGTTTTATATTCTGATACGTTCCGGAAACTGTTATAATCATACATTTAAGATATCAGAGTTTTAGTCCTACGTCTCCATGAAATGACGCATGACTACAAGAGTTGAGGGATATATTAAGCTACTACAAGACAGAACTTTTACCAAATGAACAAAACACATTTCTGTACCATGTCACACTTGCCTAGGCAAAACCTGAGACAACTGTCCTCAATTTGGAGATGTACCTTAATTTACCCAATGTGTTATGCAAAGAAAATAATTCACATATTAAACATCAGTTTTCAGTCATACCAGTGATGTGATCAGTCATACCTGAAAGACAAGTGTATTTCTTCTGCCTGCAGTATAGGACCTGTTACCGGCTGGACAGTAATCACATCTCCCGGCTTAACTTTCAGATTTTGCTGGGTCCACTTATGTAAGCCAACCTTTCCACCAGGGAAACTGGCTGTAGGCCAGGCAGTGCACACCTTATACACAAATAAGGGGAACAATAAAAAAACAGTTAATAAACATGCTTTTTCTAAGTGTACACAATATATACTTGCACTTTTGTACTTCGTTTTTTTTGTCGGAGAAAATTGTGCTTTCATTTTTCCAGTTAGGGATAGAAGCAAGCAGTGCCACAACACAGATTTCTGACAACTACATTTGTGATATACTGTAATAGCTTGAGGGGAGTCAGTAATCACACCACAAATTGCCTTACCTCCTGTTTAGACAAACTGCTGGACAGCAAAACTGGTCGTCCGATACAGATGTTTGCAGACTTCATGGCATTTAGGCTTAGTTGTACAAGGGATCTTCTACAGGATTTAGGAACTTTTTCATCAGCTGTGAATCCAATTTACATATGCATATGTAGTGAACACTGAACACTGAACACTGAACACTGAACACTGAACACTGAACACTGAACACTGAACACTTCAACATCCCCTCCCAGTACCTATCCACATTAAGCAATTTAATGTACTACACATATACAGGATCTTGCAAATGTATTAACTCCTTAGCTATAGTGTCACAAGTCCCTGAAAGAAGACAAAGTAAAATTGATAACTTCCAAAGTCAGCACTTCAGCATCTTCAGCAATTGCTGCTGTTTGTATTTTTGGATAGGCGTCTACCAGCTTAGCCCAGTAGAAGAGTCTAATCGTACCCATCCATCCTGGCAACACTGAATCAGTTCCGTATCGCAAATGAACTGCAATTGGCAAGCCTCACAAACTATCTCTTGGTTTCAAGTCAGAACATTCACTCTTATCCTTTTGGATGCCTTAAGTGTGGCTCTGGCCTTATGCAGCAATTCACTGTCCTGCTGAAAATGTGAATTTTCAGCTCAGCCTGAGATTATTGGGCGACCCTAGAACATTTCCATCCAGGATTCAACTGTTCTTTGTACGCCATACACGTGTCCCTCAATCCTGACAAGTTTCCCAAAATTCCCATAGCATGATTCTGCAGCCGCCACGATTGACAGTTTTGTGTGCCGCTGAGTGGGAAATGTGCTGTGTTAAGTCAACTCAACTTTACACGGGTGCATAGCATAGTGAAAAAAATCTCTCATTAGTCTCTCAGGTGCAGCATAAAAATACAACAGCAGATAAGACAATAGACAGAAGGACAATAACAGTGTAAACCACAGTATGGTGTCAGTGCAAAATTGTCATAAAAACTGTGCAAATACACAAACAGAGAAAAGTATACAAACAGGACAAAAACAGTGCAAAAGTAATACAGCAAACAGTGCAAAAATAATAAAGCAATTAATAAATAGTACAACTAGTAGAGTTTTAAGTACAATTTCGGCTCACATTCAGTTGTTGTGTATGTAGTGGTGTAGGAGTACGGTTATTGTGGGTACAGGAAGAATTTCACCAAATGTAATGTTTTGCATTCTGTCTTTTCTGGAAAGCAAACAGCATACAATCTTTTGCCAGATAGCTGCAGTAACTTGTATACGATTTAAGATGAGTCTTCTGCACTAAAGACTTCATTCCCACTAGTCAACCACACAGAGCAGGTTTGTGTAGGAACCATGATGTTATCAATCCATAAACATTGATTCCCATCTCCGACACAGACCTTTATAAATCTTTCAAAGTCAATGTTGGCGTAAAGGAAGCATCCCTAGCTAGTTTCCAACTTGCACGACTGTTCAGTTTCGAAAGGCGCACTGACCTAGGTAGTGTCTAGAGGTACGAATTACATTCCACCTTTTAGCGATGGACTATACTGGGAAAAAAAACGTGTAAGTAATTTTCTTGATCTGTGACTCTCTACCATTTCCCTTTGCCTTGCTTGGACATCTCCTATCGACATAGCCGATTTATCGTATCGCTATGTGGATTGTGGCCAGGTAATTTACAGAGACAGATGCATTTGCTAACTACTTTGATTATACGTCGTAGCTATAAATATTCTTATATCTTTTTGCCACAGCCTTTTTTATGAACTATTCTGAAATGTGATGCCTAAAATACGCTGATTTGTTTCCAGGGACAGCTAAAACAGACTTACTGCAATTATTCAGGAAACTAAGAAATACCTTTATCAATGAAGTCAGTAACGATGAATGACAGGTTAGACAAAACCCGTCTTTCTTCTTCGGTATTTGAAGTTAGGACTTTTGATGAATCAAGAGAACAGCTGTCCCCTAACACGCTGCTGTTTTCCCCGTCGGCTGATCTGCCGGATTTTGCTTTATTTTTCTTTTTAGATGACATCTTCACTGTCTGTGCACTATTATAACGGGCTGGAAGCACTGTGATTCAAGTCAGCAGCAATAGAAAATCAAGCATGCTTTACACACGCCACTGAAGAGACATAAACTTCCAGGTTAAAGTTCACGATGGGCTCCTTTTACCGTAAATGTTATAGTAAATGTTTACTTCGTTTTCGTATAAAAAAGAAAAGTAATGTATTAAGACTCCTGGATTTCAAAATATCACATAATTAACAAAATATCTTTCTAAATAATTAATAAAACATGTATTACTATTCAGAGTGAAAAAAGCCTATTAATTCAATAAATGTCAATGTGGAAAAACTGCTAAAACACATACAACGGTATTTTATGTAACTTTGACAGTCTCTTTTTATGCAAAACTTAACTGCTGTTTTAGTGCTCGAGAGCCATTCAGGGAAGCTACGCTCTAGTTGTTTTTTTATTACTGTTATTAAAGAAAGGCAGCTCTTACATTTAAAATGTTGCGAGTCGCAACATATGCGATTGCGGCAAGGTCCTGTTTTTGTACACCTATTGTCCTCAGCCGACGCAGAGGGCTCAAAGCATTTTGCTCGCGTACGGGGAAACACTGTCAGCAGCAAAATGAACAAGTAACAGCAACAACAAAGAACAGTCTAATAACTGGGAAATCAGATAAATTCGGAGGAGTCACGGTACATCTCAACGAACATGAATTTCCATCTGACCTTAGTGAGGATGCTTTTCAGAGAATGTTGCGAGGCAAGTAGACTTAATAATAATAATAATAATAATAATAATAATAGTTACAAACTCGTACTGTAGTTTGTATACAGAAGCAATTAAAAATGCTGACTGCAGTGTTTTAGCTACTCTGAACTATCGAATTTTTTCACACGTTTATACTACTGAAAGAGAGCTTACATACTACATGTGTTTTTATCAGACGTTCAAGGATACAACAGCAGTATCCAATCCTGGATTTGATCCCACATCCTTTATGTCTGGTTACCAGAGTGATCGGATAATGGGGAATTCTCAGACTGGGGTGATTTATTAATTATAATAACACAGGGGTCTGAGCTAAAAGTGTAAACTTGATATTAAGGGTTGTTATGTTAAAGTTGTATAATGCAATAGTAAGACCTCATTTAGAATATTATGTACAGTTTTCTTCAGCTTGCTACAGAAAAGATATTGCAACTGTAGATTAGTCATAAGTAGAGCAACCAGGTAGTTACCAGGGTCAAAAGAAAAGGCTCTGAAAAGCCAAAAACTAAAGAAAGGGAAAGTTATTTAAAACTGAGAGAATGATCACCTACTGTATTTACACAATGTTGTGTGGAACAAGCCCATATGGTCCTCATATCAATTAGGTACTAGAACACCTGCATGCTCAGTAGACTGGATGGTCTGCTCTCATTTGAAGTCTCTTAAGTGATTTGATGTTACTTTTCAAATTCAAAGCCATCAAACACATATTTGAATCAGTGCCCACAAATTGGTTTCCTTCTCATTATCTGTACTTTTGCATTTTAGGGGGCAATAAATTATTAAAAGCAATGCTGTACTTGGTTCAACCTGTGCTTGTGTCATGAACAATACAGAGTAGTATGACCATATTTAGTGAAATAGCTGGCAGTTTAGACTATGATAAATAGATACGGAACATACTGTGGAAATGCGGTTTGTATGTGAATCATCTGGTTCACCAATTTTCATTGTAGCATTATTTTATTTCGATTAATATCTCGTGTTGAATGAGCATCTACCAAGATGGCCAATAAAATCAAATGTTCTGCAGATAATTGTGTGTTTTGTAATTAATCAGGAATTAATAATTCCACTTAATAATTAATAATTGCGCTTTTGTAGTGGATTATATCCAAGGTTGCTATTGGAGTGGACCCACTTCATCCACAAGTGATGTGCATCCCACACCTAGATAAGGCTTTTGAGCTATAATGCACCAGCATTCCCACTCCAGGGAAAATTTAGCGTGAAATAAATTCACGAAGTAAATTAAGAGGAAACTTCAGGTTTTTAGGAATTTAGGCAGGGTGCTGGGGCTGCTACCCCTACTGTACCTCTGCATTCTCCTCTCCAAGTACTCAGTACTCCCATCTCATGTTCCTTTTATCTCTGTTTCAGTAGATACCACATTGTGCCATTATCTAATTTAATTTATAACTAATTGACGTTCTGAATACATTGGTACCAGGCTTGCTTTAAGTAACTAGATAGAATCCAGAAAGTTCAGGACATTGACATTGACTGGAGGTGCTGGGCTACCCCTCAAGTAACCAAAAATAATAAAAAAAATAATAAATGAAATAGAAGTGTACCTATCTTAAAGAAGATTATGTTTTGATTTTAGTGAGCTTATAGGCTGCGGCAAGTGTTTATGACACTGGATATAGAACTGGAAAGTTATTAAATAAGATCCAATGGTTTGTTTTACCTATAGCAAAATGTGAGAAGGGGTGATTTGATACATCATAATTTTTTTCTGTAAAAGAATGCTGTTTCACATAGTTGCAGTGACTGATTTCTGATTTCTGCACAAACTTCATTTGTACCAATTACCTTCCAAGATGGGTTGTTTTCACAGCTGAATTTCATGGAAAAGCTAAAGTTATATAGCTTACAATTCCCATGTAAGCATTCAGTGTTTATCAGAGTTGCTTCCTAATTTATTTCAGATTCTCTCAGTCAGTGGAGGGCTGAAGGCAAAGTGGCGGTGTGGCTTCATGTTCCCATTTTCCAGAGCCGGTTTGTGACTGTGGCTGCCTCCCAGGGCTTCGCTTTCCACCACGCAGAGAAGGACAGCTCCACACTCACGCTGTGGCTGGGACAGGGAACCAGCAGGCTTCCAGGGTATGCCACACACCAGGTCGGCGTAGCAGGTACCATACGATACAGATCGCTCCGAACAGCTGGACGAGCTCTTCTGTCTTAAAGCTTAAATCCCGTCTTGCAGTGCCAAGTTAACTAGGTGTTTCAAAAATACATTCAAGTGGATAACAGTGGATGAGGAATGAAAGGCAAATTGGCAACAAATCCCTGAGCCTTGACCCGTGAAACATAAGTGTGAACTATCAGCTAGATATGTTAGAAAGACATCCTATATATTTTAATGGCTGAGGTATATAAAGAAGTTATTGATTTAGAAACAGGTAAAGGTTTAATCCTTGCTGAAAGGAAAATAAACTAGACATGGTGATTTGGCTGGGGAGTCTTCATTGTGAAACATTGTGTCTCTTTTGTTTTCCTTTCAGCGTGGAATAAAATTTTACTTGTTCCTTTGCAGCCTATGCATGCTGACGCAGCTACCTGCTCAAAAATATTAATTTAACCTCACACAAAAGAAAACCACATGGATTGGAGTTACCAATTGGTCTTCATTCTAACTTAGAACGATTCCCTACTTTTTTAACAAAAATAACTCAAGTAAAATTTGACATTTTGAACTGTTGTTCTTGCTTTCCAGATATGGCATATTTTTATGCATAAACGTACATAAAATTGAATATTTTCTAGTTTTCACTGCTTCCTTCTGCCTTCTGAGTTTTCTTCAGCTTTCCCTCTCACGGCAAGATAGAGTACACAGCTGTCCAATAATTTAAAGTTAAGATTTGTTCTTCTAGATTTCACTTAATGAAATCAAGAGGCGAAGGAGCTTGTGTTAATTGTCCTCTTATTCCACTGAATTCGCATTTAATGTTGGACTGCCTGTGCCATATTGTCTCATTTCCTGCCACCTTATATCCTCACTTGTATTTCCCACAGCATGCAACCATTCTGTCTGCAAATCTCAAACTTAAGCCCTTGTATACTACAGTTCTTCAAAGCTGCTAATCCTATAATCCATCAGCTTTTGCACCGACACCCTTCCTCAGGAAATTAGAGTAACATGTTATTTGTGCCTTTTGAATGTATATTATGAAATGTTCACTAAACAGACTTTCTTAGTATTTTTAATTAAATATACTGTAGGAAAGTCCCCTTGTTCATGTGATTCTGACCTGTGCTTAGTGATTTAGAATGTTGGTATTCATTAAATGGGTAGTGAAACATAAAAAAGAGTCTAACAAAGCCATAACCTAAAGAGTTAAATTGCATACCACACAGTATCTACTTTGACAGTTGAGGCTGCCTTGCTGTGCTGAAGGTTTTTGAAGTTAAGGAGAAAGTATTTCTCTGCTCTTTTCAAAAATAAAATAAAATTACCTCCTTAGCCTGAAGATTATTATTAAGATCTCAAAATATTTTTTGCAGTATACTTTGAAATTGTGCAGGGAGAGTCCAAGACTATGATTTCAGGAAAGTAGGAATTGAAGAAATGAGACACTTTGGCAGGTGTACACTGGGGAATAATAGATATTGAGAGACTAAATGGCATAATTGTAAGAATATTCAGCTTAAAGCACAAAGTATTAAAGTATTACAACACCAAATAGACAGTAAAAGAAGACATATAATGTCTCGGTGATAATACAATTATATTAAAATGGATAACATACGAAATAAATATTTCACCTAGATGTTTGCCAAGGAAGAATAAACAACATACCTCACTATGCTTCAAGATAAAGTTTTATATTAAAATGATATTGTGTCACACAAATATTAGAATATTATAAACAAATCGCCAGTACCTGATGATATTCTACCAATTGTACTTAAGCAAACAGGATATGTTATAGGATCTTCCAAGTGTCATTCAATCCTGGGATAATACCCACCGCCTGGAACATTCCTAACAATTGTACCAATCCTCACAAGGGCAACAAAACCAAACAAAGTAATTAGAGACCTATATTGTTAGCCTTGCTTCTATTGCCAGTAGGCTTATGGAAATGATAATTAAAACTAAACTACTCAGAGTTGCCCGTTTTCTGTAGACAATATGATTCATAAGGGATATTCAAAACAAAGTGTAACATTCACCTGGATGATGCGACGGCAGCCATAGAGCACCAGTGTGCTTACCTCACATCAGCTATAAGAGGGGAAGAGAAGAAAGAAATGAAGTCAATTCATAGATGGGGATTATTAGGAGGCAAGGCTTAAATCTGGCCAGGACACTCGGGTATCACTACTACTGTTTTCGAGAAACACCCTAGAATTTTTTATGACCACAGAGAGTCAGGACCTCAGTTTTACGTCTCATTCAAGGGTGGCACCTTTTGTTTTACAGTATAGTGTCCCTGTCATTATACTGGGGCATTAAGATCCACACAGACCACAGGGTGAGCGCCCCCTACTGGCCCCACTAACATCTCTTCCAGCAGCAACCATAGTTTTTCCCAGTCGGTCTCCCATCCAGGTACTAACCAGGCTCCCACATGCTGAGTTTCAGTGGGTTACCAGTTGTGAGTTGCAGGGTAGTATAGCTGCTGGAAAATTGTTAGACATGCTAGTTCTTTAAAACAAGAAATAGCAGCAATGTATGCAAAGTACATGATATTGTTTGTTTAGGTTTTCACAAGGCTTTTGATAAAGTTCTAAAATAGATAGTCTTAATTAAAACTGGATGTGATAGGCATTCCAGGTGATGCATGTTTTTGGACTGAGAAGCAGCTAATGGAAAGAAAGCTGAGGGTAAAAATGAGGGGTGATGTAATTAGTGGTGTACAACAGGGATCTGTGTTAGGGTCACTCGTCTTCTTTTTTTACATCAGTGACCTAGATTCTGGTATAGTTAGTAAGCAAGTCAAGTTCGTTGCGGATGGTAACTGTAGACAAGTGATACATGTACTGTAAGTATAATAAACTTGATAATGTTATTTATGGAATAGCTTATCTTGTTTTTAAAACTATTTGAACCTCTTATAACATTATCTTATTACGTATTACATCTCTTAATTATAACATTCAAATGTAATAAAGGTGCATTACGTTAAACATGTTCTAGTGTAATGCATTATTAAGATGCACTACTAAGACCTTAGTACTGTGTATAGATTTGATCTCCATGTTGTAAGAAGGATATTGTCCAGAGAATGGCTACCAGATACATTCAAAGGCTTAAAAGAATATCCTACTTTGACAGGCTAAAGACCTGAATTTTAATCTTTTAGTGTTGAACTAATCCAAGTGTTCAGAAGCTTCAGAGGCTTTGACAGAGTCAACCTAATGGACTTCTTCAGAATCAGCTGTGAAATACAAATGATACAAATGTTAATTTTTTAGAACCAAAACCAGGTGTCAAGGAAAAAGACGCCGAGCCATGTTAAAGCTAAAAATTTGGCTTCGTTCAAGGAAGTTGAACTCCCAAGATCAGTTCGATACTAACACCAAAATGAGATAGAAGCCAAATGGCCAGCTCTTGTTTGTAACCTTTGTTTTATTCTTATTACTTTGTATTCAGATTTTTTGCATTTTTTCATTATGTTATACAGATGTGCATCCTACAGCAGACACAGTACTAAAGTCTACATGTTCTCTGTTTCAAGGGGAATGCTCTTGCCTTTAAAATGTGCCTGTATTGCTGAATACAGCTTTGAGTACATCTGAGTGTATTTTGAGTTTACAGTTGATATTTTCTTTTCCTTTGTGGAAGGATCACCAGCAGAGGGCAGGCTTTTTATGCGTCAAATGGAGAGGTTTAAATGGGCATGTTAGAACATGTTTTGATGACCGTTTTATAACAGCAGTTATCACTCTGGATCTTAATGTACCATTGCTAATGTGGTTTGCTGTGATGTTACATGAGGATGTCCTCCTGTGGTTGTGTGTTGTGCATCAGGAAAAATGAAACCCTTCTTGGGGCCGTTAGCGTTTCTGGAAACATTCTTTAACAGTTTCCAGCAAGGTTATGCTCTCTTGCATCATCCACCTTCTTGTAGAAAACTTTCTATACAGCTGGGCTGTACATCAAGCATATCTCCTTTTAGTGAAACAAATTCACACATCAATTTTAAACTGTATTTCCCAATGTGGGCTCACTATATCTTATATTGTCACAACAGACAAGCTTCAGGAGGCAGAAAAGGGACAGATAAGTCTTTTATTCAGGTTTTTGACAAAACATTGAAGTACGCTTAAAATATTTTTCTAATAAAAGCGTATACAATACCTCCAAAAATTCTGAACTCAGTTTTATTGTAGCATTTCCTAAAAAATATGATAGTTTTGTTACTTTAAAATTGGGCATGATATTTTATAGTCTTCAGCGTGTAGCCTAATCTGTATGATTCTATATAACAAAAATTTCAGATTCACTGGACTTCTCAGTCAAGTTGTATTCAGCTCAATAATTTGCCTGTGCTGCTATGTCGAAAAAATAAACCCATTACCTGAACTTCAGTTCACCTTGCAACAGGCTGTGCTCTGTGATATTTTGTTTTAATGTTTATAAATTAAGACTCAAAATGTGTTCTGTTCCTCCCATTGCTATCTGAAACAGACAGTAACAAGGACTGCCAGATACGAATTCCTGGAAATACACTGGGCTGAAGGAGAATAAAAACATTACTGAGGTTCTTATCTGAACTAATGAATAATTCTGAACTGAGCTGATGAATAAATCTGGCATAATATAAAAGGAACCAAAATTCAGATTTGGATTTACTGTTGTGGTTAAATTCCAAAGTAATGTGTAAAAAGAATTTGGGAAACGAAAGAGCCTTTAAGTGTAGAATTGTGGAAAGTATTGGATTTGGTATTATGTATTGTTGACATTTTACTAAGAAACCACATTTTGATCATTAGAGCTTTTGTGTTGCATTATTGTTTCAAGCTGAAATTTCAAATAATGTACAATACTCTCGGCCGCAGAGCAATTATTTACTTATTATTATTAATTAACAATTATAAAAACAATTGTTTGAACATCTAACATACATTTTTAAGAGATAACAGAGCACCATTCTATGCATTAGCATTGCACTTTGTACTTCTGAAAACAAGTTTTGAATTTGAAGCAATTATTATACCCTGTACAAACATTTATTTAGATGCAGATAAAAAGTTATTATTAATTATACAGTACAGTACTTCCATTTAAGGTGTGAACAATTCAAAGTTCCTTACAAGCAGCCTGTAATGCATTGTTTAGAGCTTTTATACAAGAAATTATAGTAAGTCCATTATTAGATCTCATAATTGTTCTATATGCTAAAAAAGTTAATGTATAATAAGAGTTTCCACTGCCACATCAGAGTTAGTTTTGGAAGATCTCTTCATGTCAACCTCCACAAGATGACATAATAGTATATTAAGCCAATGATATTACAATTATTTGGTAATATATTCCATGCATTGTTAGTTCTCTGCAGGACAAGTGTTTTTGTAATATCAGTACAAAATGGACATCTAACAAGTTTGCAGTTCTGCTCACTGAACTAAATATAAAATAACCTTATATTTGCTAAAAAATCTGACAACTTCATGCTAACAGAATATATAATAGGCTTGTTTTTAAAGTAGACAGCAGGGTTATTTATAGGTTATACAGTATTTAGAGGTTATGTACAGTATATGTTATTTGAACGTATACAATACTTTAAGCAGCCTATATTCACATATGAACAAGTAATAGGTTTATTCCATCCTGAAAAGAGAAGAAGGAAAACACAAGGTTTCGGCCGTGGAGCCATTTTCAGATGTGAGCATATATGTGGCCCTGTCTATCTGTGTCTGCCCTGGAATAGACAGGTGGCTGTGACTCGGATTCGCCAGGAGATGATAGATACTGCACCTGAGAGACTAATGAGAAACACTTTTCATTATACTGAGCAGCTGTGTTAGTATAGTGACAAATAAATACATTGGATTAGATTGATCTGAACTGAACTGAATTGAATTAATGTGCAGCAGCAAGGCTCTGATTAGTGACAACAGGATTGTAGGATTCAACAAGCACTGTGATTGAGCTTCTAGTTGAGCTTCTGCCAACAACTATCATGGTTTCTGCATATTATTCTGTCTTTAATCATAAATGTAAATAAATGGATTCTGCAGAATTAGTGGGGTATAGAGTTTGGTCTTTGACAACACAACAGGCACATGCTAATACCTCTGAAATCCAGTAGATTCTAAGAGTGTGTTAAGTGTAATTTATTAATTGAGAAGTATTAGAGTGGGAGCAGTCGAATAGCAAGCCAGGGATTTCTCGGCTGTCTTCAAACACAGCGACCCCTGCGCCAGTCAGCGCTGAACCTCCGGTATGGGGCTGTGGTGCCTGTGACGCGTTCAAAAATGAGTGACAGGAAGGTGGGTAGGGTCAAGGGGTGTGCTTGTAGCTATGAGCCGAGCCCGGAAAAACACACAACTGGCAATTCCAACACTGGAATTGTAAAACGAAGCTTTTGTATGCCAGTGAATTAGGATTTATTCTTACCACTTATTAGTCTGAAAGCCCATTAAACAGACCATTAAGATAACCTAACCCTATCCCATTCTCAGACCCACTTTTATGAAGTGTAACTTCATTTTAACTTTTGATTAATCTTTATGCAGTTCTTTTAAAATGACGATTCTACAACTGCAGTTAAAGTATTTCTTTTGTTCCCTCCTCTGAACTGTGCACAATTAAAAAAAAAAAAACTGCCATTGGTCAAATGTGACTCGAGCTGGAAGTTTTAGCTTTCACCATTGCATTTTCAGCTGCAGCCAGAGATCAAACAAATTAGATTTCTCCGCCCTGTTTTATTTGGTTTGTTACCTCATACTGTAGCTCTCAAACTGTGGTTTACTTTAGGAAACGAGTTTTCCTACTCACTCCACATAATGATAACTTAGGAGTGTGATACGCACTTAGACTGTGATGTGCTCACAGCTTTAATGACATCAATTTCCACACGGAAGGCCAAACTGCTCTTGGGATAAAACATCCCTCCCAGTATGTGAGTAGGAGTTGCCTGTGTAGGAGGGCAGTTAAGGGACTGCAGATGGAAAAAGATTCTGTTGCATTCATAAGTCAGTAGGACTGCATAGCTCGGCATCTTAGTCACAACATGTTACCCATTGACTGCAATAATCAATACATACCAGAAGATTATGGCAGTCAATGAAATACATTAGCCTTCTGTGGGATAAAAATTGTAATAATTTAAGGAATTGCTGCTGACTCACTCAATCATACATTCTAAGCCAAATCATACAAAGCAATGTGTTTCGTTATAGTTGTTGAATTTTGCACAGTGTGTTTTTCTAATCTCCATGCACCAAGTCAAAGTCTCTTTAAAAGTAATATTCTGGTTTAAACATTTTTTAAGACCTGTTTTCAGTTTGAAAGTTGTTGCAAACATCGACATCAATGAGCAGCGTTTTTTCATATTCAGTATTTTTTATTGTTTTCATGAAGGGATCGAAAATAACACCAAATAGGAAGGTGGTCCAAAGGAATGAATATGTCAATTTTTAGGCATGAATGAATTGATGCTTTGTGTGTTTTGTTTGTTTTAAAGGAGGATTAAATGACAAAATTCAGAAATGTTCAAGTAGGTAGCTGCGTCAGCATGCGTAGACTGCAAAGGAACAACGTTTCTCTGCGGAACCTTCTTTGGGTGTGCTCCACAGCCGAAATGTTGTGTTTCCTCTCTTCTCTTTTCAGCACGGAATAAACCTTTAACTTGTTCCAAAATTAAGATATGTTTTTTATTCAGTGTCTCCTTCTCACGTGCCTGGCAGAGACATACTGTACCTTAATATTTGGGGGTTTGTGCTTAAATTTTTCTCATCTATGTTCCTTCTCATTTTTTCAAACACTGAGATTTTAAGAGTAACCCGATTTTCTGTCATCCCTAGGCGCTGTCCTCGATGAAAGAAATGGTAAAGTTCTTGTTGTTCAAGACAAAAATAAGGTATGTCTTCTCCTTATATATGATCATCAAGGATGTTTTTCTTTATCAGTAAGGACATTTCAGTTTTGGAGCACTAGTGATTTTGAACTCCACACACATAGCACCACAGATCTGGAATTGAACCCAGCGTCTCAGCATTGCGAGGCAATAATGTGAACCACTGTGCCACCTGTCAATGATTGCAGTGGATAGTAAATACATGCTTGCTTTTAAATAGATGTAAAACACGAGAAAACTAATTTATGAAAACGTGACGTGGATCTGTTACATATTCAAATAAAATATTAAAGAAGACAGCAGAACTCAAAACTTTAATTGCTGAAACATTTTTACGTAAGTTCTGACTGAGAGTTTGACACTACTGTATATCTTGAACTAGAATTATAATAATTTTCCTAATTCGAGGTGACAGGTGGAATTACTGAAATGTATCCATGCAAATTTCTCCCTAAAATCAGATTCAAGAGTAAATTGTCTCAGGAAGAAGAGATCACAAGATTTTAACAGTGATTTTCAGTTTCATTTGGTTTATAAAAAGCGCTCATGCAGTTGGTTCAGAACTTTAAATGCCAAATGTCTGCACATACAGTACCTAACTATTGGCTTTAGTTCTGTTTAATTCTAAACCAGCACGCTATGGTGTGTTTATGTAGAGACTTATACCTGCACTAATGTGATTCAGGAAAAGGCCATATTGAACTCTTCTGAGACTATATGAAAGGTGAATAGCTTCCGTTGTTGCACATCCTGCTTCTAAAAATGGTTGTCATTAACTAAGTTTATTTAAGCTGTTTTCCTGGAGCCAGTTTCAATAATTTCCCCCTCATGATTGGAAACATTTTTTTACGTCTCTGAGGCAGTGTTTGCAGAATCCAGTTCTGAGATGGATTTTAACACAGTCAGGGACACAGTCACAGTCTGTGTGATAATGCATGTGTTATTATGGATAACATGGTAACCCCCCTTGGGCTGTGAGTTTAAGTCCCTGCTGCAGACATGACTGCTGTCCCGACCGCTTTGGAGGACACTGTTACACTAACTAAAGAGGAATTAACAGTAGTATCACTGGAATTGCATTTACTGTAGCAATTTGCAATTCAATTGCTTTAAAAAGGTTAGAATACTCCAGTTTTACGTAGAAAGAGGTTAATTAGTTAATTCTGTGGAATTAAGGCCAGAGTTCTTCTTGTTGTGTTCTGGATTTTGTTATTATTTTTCTTATTTTAAATGGGGGCACGTCACATAATGGGATAGTTTTTGGACTCATTTCTGGTGGGTTGTGGGTTCAAGTCCCTTCTGCAGACACAGCTGTTGTACTTTGAGTGAGGTACTTTATCCTATCTGCTCCATTGCTGGGAGGACTAATAAACAGGCTTTTCATCCAGAGGGGATGTCACAAGCTGTCTGATTGCTTAACTCCTAGAAACCAGGATAGACTCTGGCCCAATGAGCCATTTGTGTGTGACTCAAATTAAATTGCCTACCCACCTTACCTACCATCAATGATTATTTGCCATATTAATATGTGTATTGAGATGATATCTGGAAACTTGATTATTGGCAGACTTTTTAAGAAATAAACTGTTTTTTTCCCAATCTGTTATACATATTTTCCAAAGAGGGGTGCATTTTTTGAAGAAAATTAGTATGACTTAAATTTCAAAACAATTTTACCAATGGTAAATGAAACCATAGCACAAATAAGACATCTCCGCACTGTATACATATAAGCTTTGTTAGTAGAATTATTAGTAGTTGCCATTACTAGCATCTGCTCCCTATGAGCTAATGGTAAAATATGAATTAATTATATAAGACAATATTTTATTGTTTGTCATGAGACATGAAATAATTCTGTTTTCAGTTCTCGCTAGCATCATCTTTCAGGGCAATGAGGCCCTCCCTTTATCCGTTTCTGGGCTGCGTTTTAGTATGAATTGAGATGATTTAGGAAAAAATGGCAAGCACACATCTGCTCTACAACAGAGCACCTCCAGGCATGCTCTCTTCATAGCATGTGGTAAATGACTTGGGTAAAGGGAAGTGGAGTTTTGTTTGTTTTTTCTCCCTGACATGAAGGAGAGCTGTCGTTTGGGTGAGAAGGTCTCTGCTTGTTAGGAAGCCAGAAGGAAAAATTAGTTGAGTTTCTTACTGAGTGTTTCTGATGCTGAACTCTGTACTTCACTGGAAAGAGGCCCTGAGCATAGTCTGGCTCGCAGTCATAAACATGCTTTGGCAGACAGGCTGAAGTCAGACAGAGCAGTTTAAGTTTATGGTCTCCAAAATGAACTCTACTGACATTTCAGAATAATGTCCCCATTAAAAAACAAAACTAATTAAATACCAAAAGGCAATTAAAAAAAACTCTGTTTACGGAAATCTACAGCATGAAATCCATTTAATTTCATGAAAAGCGTGTTTTTCTCACCAGGTTGATTTGCTGATTAAGTTGTTTTTTTTCTTATTTCATTCCTATTTTTTAAAACCAAGCTCCTTTTCCTTCCATAAGCAAAATATACACTGTATATGAAAGCATAGCCTACTATATATTTTATTTTGTGCAGGATTTGATTTGTCAGTAAATCATATGAATGGTGAACACAGGTTTGTAAAAATGGGTTTATATATATTTTGGATTTTATAATTATTTTGACTAAAGCATTTAAATGTGGTTTTAATCAGAAATTCGTCTTTGCTAGAGCAGGACAATTTCTGTAGTATAGGTAGCATTATTTTGTATCTTAAAAAAATGCAGAACTATTGGGGATATCTGTCTCTGTAGGGAATTTCAAGAAAAATAAATGCTCTGAATTCTGCAGTGTACTGAGTATAGTAGCACAGCGTCTATCGAAGTCATAAACGTGAATGTGTCTGTTCACCTTTAGTCGTACCTTTGTGATCATCCTGCTGTGTCAGTTATAAACAAAATAACTTATGAGAAACAAATTAATTAAATTAATTACAAAAGCATTATTTCTTGTTAAATACCTTTTTATATATGACAAATACTGTTGATTAAAACTCTTTGTAGTATATCTATTTTGCTATTAATTCATATGAACATTTGCATAATGTCTATTTAATTATAGAAGCATGAAGACGCCAATTAAGTTTGAGACAAAATAGCTGCAGAAAATAAATACAAACTTAAATGTTTTTCATTTAAATTAATACTAGTTAAATAGAAGGTGTATAGGGCAGACTATATATTTATGAATGAGTTTTCTCCTCAATGCCATAGTGCATTTACTGTACAAAGAGGAGAAGGTTCGGTGTAGGGAGACAAAGATATTTGCAATTCCGGGATCAGAATGAACACAAACAATACTTTCTTCCTCCCTAGTGCCTCTGTGCTTTGTTTTTTCATTCCAAACTTATGACCTCTAGTTTTCCCTTCAGCAAAAAAAATACACAGAGCAAAACGTCAGTACACAACTGGAAGCACAGGTACACCCCACAGCATTAATTCCCCATTTCTAGCTAAGAGGAATGCAAATCCCAGTAATTAATTTAGTATTTTTTGCCAAGACGTAGAGGAAATACTTCACTCTTTAAGTACTGAATCATTACAGCAGACGGGAAGGAATTTCAATTAATAACACAACACAAATTGAACTTTCTAAAAAACATTTTGTTTTTAATATTTATGCAATAACAGCAGAGGTTTGTTTAACTGAACACAAACAGGAGACATTTTTAACCAGTGCAGTACATGACAAGACACTACACCTTAAAGTTAAAATACAATAAATGTTAAAAATATAAAAGCTCGAGTAAAGGAAAAGCAATACATCTTCCATAATTGTTTAAACAGGAACAAGTAAATGACAACTACATCATAATTTATCTAGCAGCAATTTCATTTTTAAATACCAATAAAGTAAGATGAACCATATTTATTAAAGAAAATCAGTAGAACATCAAACTTCATAATCTTCACTCAGATATAATCAAGAAAAAATAAATCATGGAATCACATTGAACTAATACATTTAATCTGTACAGGATATAAGTCACACAAAATAATTCCTTTCTGCTGAATCTCATTCACACATTCATTTGCAGCATTCTCTGGATTGGAACAAAGTACATGCCACAATCAAAAAACAGTTTAAATCTGTTTTTGCAATTTTTCTTACAGACAGCAAATGCTTGGAAATTCCCTGGTGGACTATCTGATCCAGGGGAAAATATTGGTAAGTTATTTAGTCTGTCCACAGACATTTTAATGTATATTTCATCAAGTTAAATAAAACCTAATATACTATATATGAAGCAAAGACATTCAGAAACAAATATATTCAATACATTTGTGCTATTTGCGCTGATACTACACTTTGTTCTTACAAAATGCCACTGTACTTTTCATTATGTTGTAGTTCACATGAATGTTAATGTATTCAGATACCATAAAAAAACATCCAAATGGTTCTGGTTTTCAGTTAAGTAGTTATATTTACAGTTTAAAAAGTAAAAATAATACATTTTAGAAACAAAAAGCTTGGTTCAAATCCTGCTGATTAACAGTTCTTATAAAGCAGCTTTCTTGTCACCCTGTTCAAAACTTGAGTAAATTTTGATGTGGTATCCAACAGTGTAGATTTAACAGTATACCTTTAAAGGGATAATTTTTAAAGCTGTTTGCTCTAGAGAGAATATTTCCCACATTTGTCTGAAAGTAGTAACAAAAATTTAAAAGAACAAACCTAGCAAAAGATAACATGAACATGAATAAGAAAAAACAAAATTATTTTGAATAAAACATAATCTATGGATTGTATTTGGCTGGTCTAAATGTGGAGCACATTTTCAAGGGAGCAAAAAGCTTTAAAATTTGTCCATCAAAATTAACAGAAATTTCAATGATGTTTCCTGTTATAGAGAGACACGTATTTACAAGAATATCCACATTAATTTGGATAGAGGTTCATTGTCATTCATAAAGTTATATAATATGTTTTGATGTTTTGTGTATCATATTATTTTATGAAGAGTATGAAATTGGTATGAAAATTGGTATGAAATGAGTGCTTTTATTTTTAGATTCAGGTCACACACTATTCAATTGAAGGCAGAGCTTATTTCAGTGCTGTGATCGGATTGTGGGACAGCAGTCACTCAGACCACTTAGTTTTAATTAGAAAATTATCATTGCTCTTTCTCTAATCATAATTCCACATGCATATTTCTTTGGACATAGACTGTTATTTAAGGCAATCAAGCAACTATTTTGAGGTATAGAACTATGCTTTACATTATGCTGTTATCTCTTAAAGTTACAAATAGGATTTTAAAAACACAAAATGTATTAATAGAATTAACAAGAATTATCTTTTAATTTGAGAATATTAGCCATACTGAGATTGCCATTTCAAAAGGCAGATTTTTAAAAAGTCCCGTTATATGTCTGTTCTATTTAAATTGTACTTATAGTACATAAACAATGGCAAATCAGTGGTTCAAAAATGAAGGAAAAATACTTTAAACTTTACAATTTATTTTAAATACAAATCACGTTCTCATAACAATATTGTCAAAATGTGCTTGGGGTGTCAGAGCAGCTAGACTTTTTACTTAATGAATTTTTCCAAAGAGCAAATAACTAAAAACTTAACTTACAGGCTACTGTATGTGAAAAAAGAAGCATGGTCTCTACGATGATAAAAGTTATTAAACATCTGTACAGTATATCCTCTGAAACTCGAGATCTTTGAACACAGAAACTTTGTCCACTTGGGAAATTTTTGCCAATTAACTGCTTCAGTATCATCAGTATTATAAATGAAGAAAAGAACAGAAATTTGAAACAAAAATGCTTACACGTTTAATAATTTCAAATTTTTAGATAATTTTAATAATTAGTCATTAGTAATAGTAATTTAAAAACACAGTGTTCAGAAGTTCAGATGGTCAAATCAGTCTCTTGTTGCAAAACTTACATATAATCTTAAAATTAGTGGAAAGTTGGTGATCTTTACATCAGTATGTATCATAGCACAGTTCCAAAGATAGTGTTGTTTTTTTTGCAGTGTTGTGTTTTTGCTGGTATTTTTTTTTCAGGATATCACTGGTATTGCACAACTCTCATTTTTAGTCAAAGTCAGTCTAAGGAAATCTGTTAAACATTTAAGCATGCTGAAGAAAAGGATCTCATCTCAGGAAATGCAAAACTTGTGGGTGTGTTACAGTAAGCAGCAGCCGCTTGTCTTAAAATAAAACCCTAGGACCTTCAATGATTTAGCCAGAAAACACATTATTAACATCAATAAAGGCAGAAAACAGATGTTCGTCTTCTCTGATTTTCACACCTCTAACAGGTAATGTATTAGACCATGATGACAACAGTCAGATCTCTTGGATGTTCCAAGAAAAGGATCAGAAAGAAACATCACTTTTAAATGTAAAAAAAAAAACATTCTCATGCCATTACCATTTTCAGGCTTGTTCTTGATCATAAATTAACAAAACCATTGCATATTTTTACAGGCATCACAGCCATCCGGGAAGTTTTTGAAGAGACTGGCATTCGTTCTGAATTCAAGTCCCTCTTGAGTATAAGACAGCAGCATAACCACCCTGGAGCTTTTGGTATTTCAGATATGTACATCATCTGTCGACTGAAACCATTGTCATTCGACATTAACTTTTGCCATCAGGAGTGTCTGAAATGCGAATGGATGGATGTAGCTGAACTAGCCAAGACAAATGAAACCACTCCAATTACAAGCCGGATAGCCAAACTCTTGTTATATGGGTATAGGGAAGGCTTTGATCAAATTGATCTTGTTGTAAAAGAACTCCCAGCAGTCTATACAGGGTTACATTACCAGCTTTACCACAATCGATTGCCTATGCCATATGAAAACATGTCTTTTTCTGATAAAAGCTAAGTGCATCAAGATAAAATAACACTTTAAGATATTACTGTTAGTAAGGTATTCTAGGTTTCAAAATACTGTACTCTCACTGGCATGTTAATCAGGGATTTTCTGATTTCTTTACATATATTTTTAAAATAAATATTCGTAGGATAGACTACAATATATATGTCCAAAAAAGGTATTGGTATCCAATATTTGAAACAATATTTTAATATTTTTAGCAAATAAGCTGAAGTGTTTTAAAAAATATTGTTTTATTAAATTGCAATTTATCAACTGAAATAATATTTTGCCATTTCTTGAATGCTGATTAGTTTTAGCAAGCGGTAGTAAAGATTCTGGATGAATTAACTGAGCACAGAGAGGCCATCAAAACTTAAGTTTGTACAGAGGTTTTATACTATCTGTCAATGTTCAATAATTTACGAAAAATATCTCTGCTAAAAATATGGTTTTAGCAAATGACATCTTTTAAATTAAATGAATTAGCAAATAACATTGTTTCAAATGAAAGGTGGTGGTGCTATTTTCTGAATTTTACATATTTAGTATACAGATATTGTGTACATATGTTTATATAAATCTTATAAATAATATAACATCCCTTTTATATATTAAAATATTTGGTTTTAGAGCAGATTGAGTATACGTTTTTTAGGATATAATCATTCACATTTTATTAATTCAAAATGCCTTTGTGTTTTCATCTGAAATTTAATTTATTGTATGTATACACAAAGAAATCGACTGCAACCTCTATGAGTGTTAAGTGACAGTCATATCACAGGTGTGTGATGCGCTGTTTGTTCAGCTTTTCACATCTCCTCAGTACCAAAGTATATCTCAATACCAAAGGTATTTTGCAGAGTATCTTGCTATTTAAAAGACTTGAGTCTCTTTTCTGAAACTGTGAAATCAACTCTTTGCTGACATGGGAAGAAAGAGAATGGCTTTTTGTCCTGGTCCTGTTCTGGATCCAGATTTGAACTGTCCAGTCCTTTTCAGTGCTACGTACCACTCAGGGTACTTCTTCGACCGATAGGTGTTGTAGTTATTCGACTCGAGTCGTTCGATAAAGTAGCATTCATCCGTGTGGCATTTCTGAAAAAGAGAACAAAAAGTAATGCATCACACCTACAGTACAGTACGTTAACAAAAAGTGATATCCACTTTCCTTTCTAAAATTAAATGCATCAATGCTACAAACTTAATTTCTAATTATTAAAGGACACAGAATACCATCATGGGCCCATCCTTAATGATTTTACTAACTGGTGCAACAAGTTCTCCCTTAAGTTAAGTTTAAAAAACAAAGGAACTGCTCATTTATTTTTACGAAAAATACCACACCCCCTCAACCCACTATGATTGATGGTCAGCCTGTTAAAATTGTCGATGACTATAAATACTTGGGACTGGTCATTGACAATAACCTAAAATGGGACAAATGTTGCGACACTATAAAAAAGGCCAACAGAGACTCTTCTTCCTTAGGAAACTCAGCTACTTTAAGGTACTCTAGATAAAACTTTTACTTTTATCATTTATTGAAAGTGTCTTAACATGCTGCTTTACTTGCTGGTTTGCCAACATTAGTACCGGTAACTGTAATAGGCTGGGTAAATTAGTCAATATAAGTGGCAAAATAATTGGGAATAATCAAATCAACTAAGCATCCTTTACAAACAGGGGGTAACTAAGGAAGCCAAAAGCCCCCGCCATTGCGAATTCACACTTTTCCAATCTGGGAGACGCTTCTGTGCCCCCAAAAACCAACAGACTCAGGAAATCTTTCATCCCACTGCAATTACACTCTTAAACAATGCAAAGTAACTAGCTTGTCTCTTGTCTCTTGTTTCTTTCTCCTGTAACACTGCTGTATTCTCTTCCCTTTTGATAATGTGCATTGTGTTGTGTTTGACTGTGCCATAAAACAAATTTCCCCTAGGGGACAATAAAGCTTGAAAATGAAAATTTAATTGAAATTTAAATTGAATTGTTTGCATATGCATCTCTGTATGATGTATCGGTAAACAAAATTACCGTTAATTTATTTGAAATCAAACAGACACTGTCGGAGAACAGTAAAAACAAGTGGCTCTGAGGATAGCCGAATGCAAATTTGCTGCATCAGAAAACAAAAATTTTAAAAACGTTCCCGCAAACACATACTGTAGACATTCCATAACTGGAACGTGAATTACCCGTATTATTATACTCGTTTTAGCTAATTGGCTTCTTGCATGCATTGACGTCTTAACCTAGAAAACTGTATGTTCCAGGAAATGATATTCCGCACATGTACCATTAAAATCAATTCTGTGTGATATTTACTGTGATACAGAAAGTGCTTGGAACGTTTTCAGATGACTAACATTTCAAGACAGTGCAAAACAGAACCTGTATACATGCAGCCCACTTTCTAAAGGATCAGAAGACTGTGGGCTCCTTATTAGAAGTGTTTCTGCATCACTCAAAACCTTCTCTCCTCCTACGCGTACACAGCAGAGTTACAAATCATTGCTGGGAAGAGGTAATTGATTATCATTTTACTTGATGACTTCCCATGGAATGTCTGTACAGTTGTCATTGAGCTCATGCAGCTGAAAACAACATTCCACATTCTGCCTCAGGTTTTTAAGTGTATTAGACACAATTTTGAATTATAAAAAATTAGGAGTTGTTTTAAAATTCTAAAATGTAAAGCATTAGGAAAAAATAGCCATTCATTTAAGGTTACCCGATTCAAAATAATACAAATTGACTTGAGTAGTGTCTTTTGTTCTATGGGAAATTCATTTTTATATCAACTAGTTGGCACTATACTCATTACAACTATTATAATTATTATTCTAAACTGTGATGGTCAGTAGCACTGAATGAGCCCTGTATTTTGAGATGATAGGAAATTAGTATGAGCTCAGAAAGACCTTATTGACTACCCTCTGTCACTCCCACCTTCAAGATAAAATTAAAAATCATTGTGTTCAGTTCCCTCATTTGTTTCCATATCCCATGTAAATCCCATGTAAGTGCTGAGTGAAGGATTTATTCTCGTCAACATGGGAAAGGGAACATGGAGCAAATACAAGAAAGTATGGTTATGGTTCTGACCTGAAAGTACAGAAGAGGTAGGTCTTGTCCTTTTTCAGTTACTGAAAAGAGTTATGATATGCAAATTATTTGAATATGTTTAGACTTCACATTGACCAAATGTTGCCAAAATGCAAATGACATTCATAAAAAGTTTGGCAAAAACCTCTAACTTTCTTGAAGCATGAAGGCGTTGTTCCATCATACAGTATGTCCTCTTTTATGGCTTTGAATCGAACCTTCAAAAAGGAGCACTTTTTCTCTGCTGTTTAAAAAGGAATCAAGTTTGGGCCACATGATTAGATTTTTAAAAATGTCAAAAAAAATTATGGTGACAGGAGGAGAATTTTACCTCACACAAGAAAATAAAATGCTTGTTAAGCTCTCTGTTAACTCCATTGTATACTAAAGAAATAGTCTACCCTCATTAAAACTGTTAAAAATATAATTATATATAAATATAAAAATATAATATAATTCAGATATATAGTTTATATATCTGAATTATTTATTCTTTTTTTAATTTTTAATTTTCAAGAATAAATTAAAGCATTTTATTGTAAGTTCAAGCAATATTACTCAAAGAACATTTACAATTTACAAATCTGCAAATATGATAAACATTATACATAAGAATTAGGTCTATTCTCACCTGTTCCCTTACTATTTTACAAATATTTTACTTCTTACATATACTGTACATATGCAGTCAAAATAAGGGAGATGCATAAGTATGATTATTTACTCTTAATTCAAGTTTCAGTTATTCTGTATCTCAACAAATGCACATACTGTAGCTGAACTAAAAACCTTTTGCATTAAGAGTCTTTGTAAAAAGCAGCTCTACCTTTAAAAAGCAGAGAAAACCTTTGCTACAACATGCCTTAAAAAAAAGGAAACCTCAAAAGATCTTGAGGTCAAAGGCACATATGGGGGACAGTTTTATGACACAAATCCTCACATCTGGCTCAGATTTCTGTTGCTACAGGCAACGGAGTTCACAAAATGCCGCTGCTCTCAACAAGGAGTCTGTTGTGTATTAAGCACCTACCTACACGATAGCCTTCACATACTCTCTCTGGAAACAGTTAATGAAATTTGCTCGAGGTCAATTACTTTTTTTTGCAGGACTATACATTTTTTGTCTCTTTGGCAGAATAGGACAAGAAAAACCTAAACATGTAGACAGAAAACCTTTCACTATATCCTATACAGTTCAGCATGATTCTCTTTTTCCAAGCACATATACTGTAATGATCCAATCACATTTTATTGTATTAAAATAGGTTATCCAAACATTTAGTGGTATAAAAACATTATGTAGTTATGGAGCCTTGGTTTTGTCCTCTGTTTTGCTTTCAGGGAATTAAAAAAGAAAGTCATTCTTCATTTTTGTCCATCTACCTCAACAAGCAACAGGCACAGTATGTACCCTGGATGGGACACCAGTCCCTTGCCAGGCAGACACACACTCACATCAGAGTCAATTTTCCTAGAAGCCAATGAACCCACCAGCATGTCTTTGGACTGTGGGAGGAAACCCATATGAACAGAAAGAGAACATACAAGTTCTACACAATTAGCACCTCCAGGTCCTGAACTGAACCCAGGGCCCTAGCACAGCCAGGCAGCAACACTAACCACTACACCCTGTCTGTATACGTGTTCAAATTCATATTTTTATTTCAGATGATTTAAAAAAGATTTTGATACTTTTACAAGCACCATAATGCACCTTTCTGTCATTTTACTCCTAGACTCCCATTTACTCCTACACTGCTAGCTCATTAGACCTCCATAATCTGTAGTGCAGATAGTGGTGAATATCTGATCAAACTTTCCACAAAGGTGTGAAACTCATTCGGTGACAAAAATCATACTGTTATTTTAAGTGGGTGGACATCGAATAAGTGACAGACCCTACCAATATCTGTCCTAAGACTGTTACTGTTAACCACTGTCGACAAATGAAGGGAAAGCGTTTCCCAGAGCCTGCCACAGAATTCCTGCCACAGACATTGCTGTGTCAGACAGAACAGCAAAGTCCAAGGTCTTTACTTCCTGTTCCACCCAACGAAGCCCAATCCCTAATAATTGCAAACAGCTCTTTCATGTATGCAAGTGTCTGAGGAATGTTTTTCTTTTTTGCAATGTGCAGTTCTACAAGGCATTCAGTCAACAAGAGTGCATTTTCCTCTTTCTCCTGCATATTTGGTGTAAAAAACGTGCCTTTATTTAGGCCAAGTCAAAATATTTGCAGTGACAATAAATCTTTGAATGACATGGCTCACGTGCCTCTGGAACTTTATTATATTATCTTTGCACTTAGCTCTGTAAACTCATTTATGATTCTAATGTTGTCATTATCCACAGCTGAAACCTCACTGTATATTTGCTTGGCTTTATTGACCCTGGATGTCTCAAATGATTTTTCGAAAGCCACCCATGTAACCAATCAGGACCAAAGTTTGGATTAACTGGGAGTAATAGCAGTGGGTGAGATCAAGAGTTTTGGGATGATCTAATGATCTGAAGGGCTGCAAAATGTATCCAAAACAAATCTTGGACACGTGTCCAAACATTTTCACTGGTGACTCGATTCTCTCCTAAGACATGATTATCTTATTTGGGGTTGGTCTGACGTGTTTTAGAGCATACTGTATAAAAGCTATAGGGAAAATAAAATACAGTAAACCCTCGGTATGGCCAGATGTCCAATAAATCGTGAATGATGCTTTTCAGCAAAAAACATACTATTATATAAGAAAAAATTTCAATATTATATACAGTATATGCTTTCTTCGTATATTTTTTTTTACTTAAAAAAATCGAATCAACACAGTCAATGAAAATTGTCCATACTGTATGCCTTTTTATCATAAATATATATGTTCTTTCTTTCAAAGTGTAATAAATTATACTGTATAAAATTTACTAAAGCATTCGAAACACAAACACCCATCGTAAGCAACTGGCCTACCCCACAGGGCACCACTGATATTGCTGAA